GCCCCTCTTGACAGCTCTCCAGGGTCTCAGGCAGAGGTCTTTCCCATCCCCTACTGCCTGGTCCTTTTTAACTGGAGATGCCGGGGACTGAACCTGGGACCTTCTGCATGCCAAGCAGAGGCTCTTCCACTGAGCCACGGCCCCTCCCCTAACACTGGAAGCTGCCTGATACTGAGTCAGGCCCTGAGTCCATCAAGGTTAGTATTGTCAATTCAGACTGGCAGCCGCTCTCCAGGGTCTCAGGCGGAGGTCTTTCACATCACCTGATTGCTTTAACCGGAGATGCCAGGGATTGAACCTGGGACCTTCTGCATGCCAAGCAGAGGCTCTGCCACTGAGCCACGGCCCCTCCCCAGTCTGAGACATGCTTCTGGAACTGCACACTACAGCCCACATTGTCCTTGGCAAGTTTGGGGCTGAGCTAAGATTCGAACTAGTGACCCCCGGCTGATCAGATCTCAGTCTCTCTCCTTGCAGAGGGGGTGGAGGAGGCGTGAGGGATTGCGAGAGATCGAAAGACGGGTTCTTCTTTCAACAAAGAGACAGCAGAACTTTGGTGCCCTCCGCCCTAACGGGGTAGGGCAGAATTCAAGGGGTGAATCAGAGAAATGCTTTCGTTTGGGACTGTGCCTTGCTGATTTAGTGTGAGTCCTGGCAAACAGACAAGCCTTGTCATTTCCAACACAAGCTCAAACGCGGTACGAAAACAAGAGACGGACAATCCAAAACGAACCCGGGACTGGCTCTTCAGCTCTGGACCACAGAATCTCCTGTTTGAATAAGAACTTGCTCGTCTTCCACGGTGCCGACTGTCAGGGGATTATTTCACCGCGACCGGATGACGTGGCCAGATACTCCTCCGTGACCGGCGCGGCTAAGTAGCCCACGATAACCAAACCAAAGCCTTTTGAAAACAAGGGTTTGGACAATAGAAGCCAAGGATCCTGCAGCAGCCACGGGTTCAAATCCTCCCACACTTCGGGAAAGAGGCAGGTCAGACTTGAGGAGCCAGTTCGTATCCCTGGGCCTGGGTCCTGCTGCCTCGGTGGGATGAAGCAGGTAGCTCACAGTGTGTGACCGCCAGGGCTGCAGAGGCAAACAAATTTTATGCGCCCTTATAGCCACACAGACATGGTGGTCTTTCTGAAAAGGCTTTGATCCATTGCGTGTTTGAGTAGGGAAGCGGTGGCAGGGAGGAGACGGCTTAACCCGTTCCGCACGGGGTCATTTCCCCTCTCTAAATTGCACCATTTTGGATTTGCTTGTAAGGTCAGATTGGCCCATATCAGTGTCGTGACCCACTTGCCGATGGGAAGCCGGATGAGGAGTACCACTGCCGTGCCCCTGGCATATCTCCTACTCATTTCAGTGAGGTGTCGGCAGGAGAACTTATCTGGGACAGATCTGTCTCTCTCCCACCCTGATATCCTTTAAGACGGCCATAATTCCGCGAGTCCTGGTGGGACTATCCACCCTTTCCCCAAGAAACTCAGGGTTGCTTGCATGATCCCCCTTCCCTCCTTTTTATCTTCACAACAACCCTGTGAAGTGGGATATACTGACAGTCACCGAGTGAATAATAGAATCATAGTGATGGAAGGGACCTCCGGGGTCATCTAGTCCAACCCCCTGCACCATGCAGGAAATTCACAAATACCTTTCCCCCCCACGCGCCCCCAGTGACCCCTGCTCCACGCACAGAAGATGACAAAAAAAAACCCCAAAACCCTCCAGGATCTCCAGCCAAACTGGAGTTCTCTGTTTTTTTTACTGATGAGGAATTTGAACCTGGTTTCCCCTGCGGCCTTGTCCAACACTCTGACTATTACACCATACGGTCTTTCACTCCCAGATGTTCAGGCAACCTCCCGACTGTCAGTCAACAGGATTCCCAGCCGTGACACCCTGCCGGGTTTCCGTGTTGTTCGAGGTTTGCGAATATTTTGCATCCTCCTCTCTCCACGATCTGCTTCGTTGGCAGCAGTAATCTCCATAATCCATAATCAAACAGCCCTGCGGGGTAGGCCAGTAATGCAGACCAGTGGTGTGGGGGGGGAGGGGAGGGAGGAAGGCCGTGGAACGCCTCACAGGCTGCCAGCTCAGCGGGAAATTGCGACATGTGTGTATCTTCAAAGAGAGACGTGTGGGTCTGTTAATTGAACGGTTGCTGATATCATTTCCTGGGTCATACAAATGATATTCCTG